CACTTGCCAATTTAATGGCAGAGAATGGATAGATCGTTTGTTTTTTGAAGTGGATGCATATCTGTCGTAAAATAATCATATGCATCTTGTGGCGTATATTCCAAGCATTCTGAAGGTATATTGAGGGTTTGGTGAGAAACAAACCGAAATGGCAAGCTATTATATTTTATGAAAATCTTGCGTTGCAGTGCGAGTGCGCAGTAGCTCACAAGTGCATATCCTTTTGAGATATCAGCTATAATCAATTTTAATAAAACACAAGACTACATTATAAAACTCTAACAGTAGGCTATTTAATATCTGTTGTTCTCCGGTTGTCAGTCAGAATGACAGTTCTTGCGTGAACATAGGCCTGTATATACCCAAGCCAATTTATCAATCCTTCTTTTTTGTCTTAGTTTTTAAAATATTTATTTTGAAACAAATTAATTAATTAATTAATTAAACAAACAGATTTACTGGGTGAGCAGGGTAGGCTATGACAGCTCTCATATCATACCCTACCATGCCCAGCTGATGCGAAGAATAGAATTCATATCTACACAGAAGAAAGCCCTGTCTAGACTCTGCCCCAGTATGAGTTGTGTTGAGCTATTCATTAGCCTGTTTGTTTGATGAAAAAAGATGAAATGTAGTTGCAATAAATGCGTTAAGAATCCATAACTGCATCAGCAGAGGACTATTATTCTGCTGCATGATACTGCAAAAGAACTGACGAAGGCACGGTTTGATCTTCGGCTGACCAATCAGCAGAAAGGGCGTTTAATTCCCGCCCACGTGTAGAAATCGAATATTCAAGCTGTTTATTCATTTTTCCACCCACGAACGAAAAACGAAAATTTAAGCTTAATTCTTGTTTTTTATTATTCATGTATGCAGCATCTTTGTTTGGATCAAGATTAAAATGCAGTGGTTGCCTCTAATTTTAAATGTAAAGAGCACAGACAAAGCCTTAGTTTGTTTATATGAAGAGATTTATTTTATTTGTGTTGCTTATTTATTTGATTTGGGGCTTGTTTTAAAATTTCAATGTAGTTTTGTTATTTACATTTACATTATATTTAAATTTTGTAATTTAGCAGACGCTTTTATCCAAAGCGACTTACAAATGAGGACAATAGAAGCAATCAAAACCAACAAAAGAGCAGTAATGTGCAAGTGAAATATTAGTATATTATTATAGTATTATTTTTCAATTTCACAAAGAAATGTGCAGCATTTTGTCCAAGCAATAATAAAAGGACACATTTAATTTATAATTTGTCTTAAATCTCATTTTGTAAAAAAGAAAAAAAAAGAAAATCGTGAATCAAATCGAATCGTGAATCGAATCGTGAGTTGAGTGAATCGTTAAATCCCTATTGTTGTTAATTTTTTTTTATTGTCGGATTATCATACAGTATGCATCAATGAATGACAGTTTTGACTGTCATGGTGTGTGCGTAAACGAGTGTGAAATACCTAATTAAGTAGCTTTTTCCGATCACTTGGGCACTTTTTTGCATTTAAATTCTGACTGTTGACATTGAAAATGATGCATGTGTTTTTCGAGGGTATCAGTTAATTTCTGATTGCCGTTTTGACAGCGTCTGCTTGCATATTTTAATCATATTTGGTCATTCTCTTTAATGTATTTGCCCCGATTTGATCAATGGGAAATTTATCTAGCGCTATATTTATATTATTTTGTCATCATTATTTTCTTTTAAGGAGTTAAAAATGGCTCTTATCAAACTTGATTGACATTCTATCACACTATTTTGACAGTTAAAGTTTTGGGCGTTTTTTTGTTGGAGTGGGTGGGTTTTTGTGAGCTTTTGGGCTGGAAATCGTTCATCCAATCTGGCAACACTGTTCAAAGCGCCAAATACGAGTAGAATCAGCGCTGAAACGTGTTACTCGACCTGGTGACTTTTTATGAATGGCGGTGAGAATTTTGAGATCGCTGTCATAAAATTCGCAACGGTTGTGATGTAATTAATTTGTTAGTGCTAGCTGAGCTGCGCTTGGTTTGAGCCGCTCTAATTTGCATTTGGGAACGCAACATTCGTCATTAGAAACGTTTATAAATCAGTTGTTGTTTACAAAAGAAGCTTCACTGTCAGATGATCCTTCAGAAATCATTCTAATAAGCTGATATGCTGCTCAAGCAACATTTACTTTTTATTATAATCAAGGTTAAAACCGTTTTTGCTGCTTAACATTTTTGTGGAAACTGATATCACTCAAACATTTGAAAAAGAGAAATTAATAATTGTATTCATAATACATGAAATTGATGAAAAGTAAGTGAAGTGTAAAGACATTTAAAGTGTTTCAATAGATTTCTATTTAATAAATGCCTTAAATTTAATATATCAACATTGATAAATCAGAAATGTTTTTTGAGCAGCAAATCAAATTGTAATGATTTCTGAAGGATCATATGCCACTGAAAACTGGAGTAATGATGCTGAAATTTCAGCTTTGATCACAGCAATAAATTACATTTAAAAATCTTGAAATATAAAACTTTAAAAAAAAAATTGTAATAATATTTCACAATATTGCTGTTTTTAGTTTATTTTGGTCAAATAAATGTGCCTTGATGAACAGAAGAGAATTCATTTCAAAGTAATTAATAATTGTAATGTTTCCCAACTTTTGGCAGGTATTTAAATAATAAATCTATTGATAATTATATTATAT